TGAGAGTGAGGAAAAGGATGGGGTAGAAGACGGCCCGCCCCTGGGATTAGGGCCTGGTAAACTGTGTAAGTGATGACGTCATCAACAATATTGGGAGGGAAGGTGGAGGTGGTTTTGGTGTAAGTGAATGAGTTCAGCGTTAGAAACATTGAGTCCGGTGTCCCTAGGGATGACCAGGGAAGATGACTAGTGGGAGAGTGGTAATCTGGGATCAGCAGTGCCCAGGGATTGGTCAAGGCCATCGGTGTGAGTGAGGTGACCTGAAGAACACATGGAAAGAGAAGACGGCAGGCGCTCCCAACCTGAACACAGCGATGCCTAAAGAGTGAGGGAGGAGGAGAAGCCCCCAAGGAAGGAAGAAAAGGGTGGTCAGAGAGTTAAGCAGAACACGGGGAAGTGGCTTTATGAGGGCCAAGAGTTCCAATAAGTACAAGGTCACCAGTGTCAAAACTCAGAGAGGTCAAGCAAGGCGAACACTGACCAAGGTCCCCTGGATTTGGTGATTCGAGGAGCATGGGTGAGCTTTGCCACGATGACTTCAGTGCTGCTGCTGAGGCAGTGGAAGCCTGGGCTGGGCCCCACAGGGTTGGAGAGGGCGAAGGAGGTCCAGAAGTGTAGATAGAAAGAGCACACCATCTCCTTCTTTTCCTTTGCAATTTCTATACTTTCTTCTCTCCCCATCTTGCCCTGACCCCCTTCTTCTCTTCCTTCCTTTCTTTCTTTTCTTTGTTTTTGGAACCTGCCTGTGGAAGAAGAAAAGGGAGGATGCTGGGGGGAAGGGAATGGTCTAGAGTCTGGTGTGGTTAAAGTAGGGAGCCTTGAGCTCTTTTAAAGGTAGAGGTGAGCTGCCAGAGTGCAGGAGAGGAGGACGGTCAGAAAGGAGGACAGAATCCAAAACAGATCCGCCTTAAAGAAGAGAAGCGTCACCCCTCTGAAGGGGGAGGAAGGGTGGTGTGGCCGTGGATATAGGTGCTTGTGTAGATGCTCACGTTGCCCAGGCTGGCAACAAAGCTACAAAATTAGTGCTGTTTTATGTTAATCACTCTTGCCTGCCCGCAGTGCAGACGCCTCGAGCAGAGGGGAATGGGCCCCCAATGCCGCTTTTCCACCAGTGTTGACATGGAGCCTGGGTACGGTGGCTATGGTCAGATGTCAGGAAATTTGTGGTTCTGACCTGGCCTTCAGTCCAAGCTTGTGCCCTGTGGTCTGGCTTCCAGCCTTCCTAACTAAGGCGGGCAGGCACCCTAACTGTGTATCAGGCGCCCCAGAGGGAATAATTAGCTTCCTTCCTGCCGAGCTTGCAAACCACCCGATATAAAGTGGCGACAGTGGATGTCACATGGGGGATGCTTCATCTCACAGTTGGCCCGGGGGCTGGAAACATAATTTGGGGCTCAGGGCAGACACCAAATCCTTCTGCAGACATTGGAGCCAGAAGGCAGGGCCACAACTCCAGCGGCTCCTGCTGGGGGCCAAGCCCCAGCAAGTGACCTAGGCAGGGGTCTACTTCTGTTCACAGTCCCAGCAACCAGGATTCCCAGGACTCTGGGGTAGGTTTGAGACTCCAGGGAAGCAGCTGTGTCTGCAGCCAGTGCCTCCCAGCTTCCCCTTTAGGTCTTCCCCATCCCTTCTGGAAGCTTCTTCTGTGCTCACTGCCCCCAGTCCAAGATCCCTCCTGAGGGGTGACAGGAAATGCCTAAGGCAGCTCTGAGGTTCCCCTTTAGCGAGGGGGCCTCTGAGGGTGACCAGAGCCTTTGGACTCCTCATGCCTCACCTGGCTTACATATTCTGAGTGCTTGTTCTATGTGCTCTGTGTGTTTTTAAAGATCCATTTGATCTTTCTACCAGATGGTCTGAGTTAGGCACTACTGCAATGCTCTTCATGTCACAGCTGCAGAAACCGAGGCAAGGGAGGGAAATGACTTCTCCAAGAGCAACGAGGAGGTGGAAAATGGCTTCACTCCTGCTCCCCAGTGAGTCCCACATAGATAGGCTGAAGGGGAGAGGCCGACCAAAGGTGGGGTGACGGCACATCCTACTTGCCTGGAATAGTTCCAGTTTTCACCTGTCATCTCAAAGTCATTCGTAAAAGCACCCCTTCCGCTCTCCAAATCACCCTGATTGGGATCATTTAGGGTCACCTAGATGGGAGGGGTGCTGGGAGTCTTTCCCAGGCCCGGGATCACCTGACAAGTCCATAGCCCTCTGGCCTATTCCACTTCCCCTCGCTGCGCCTCAGGCCACATTATAAAGTGTGGCAGTGCCTCCGGCCAGCTAAGGGCCCGGTGGCTGGGGTGGGCAGGAGGGCTCGGAAGGCTACTGAGCACCCTGTGGCCTAGTGGGTGGCGGTTATCATCGCAGGAGATCAGAACTCCTGGCCCACAGGCGGCACTTGAGCCTGCCAGCCCTCCCCACTCCCTGGAGGGACAGGGTGGAGTTATGCTAACTGGGAACACTGGGGATGGCTCTCCAAGGGAGCACAGGGCCCTGGGGAGAGCAGCTGGAGGAGAGAACGGTGGAAGAGCGGCTACTGGCCCAGCTCCCCACGGGGCAGCGCAGCCAGCAGTGCCCGGCCTAGGGGGAAATCTCTGACCCTCCCCCGTCAGGCCGCCCTCTCCAGGAAGGACTGCATTATATGCCTGACTCTGTACAACACAGCTCCTTGAGACAAGGGACAGTTTGGGCAGACAGGGGCCAGTCCTGGGGCTCCAGGTGGGTGGGAGGCTCTCCTCAAAAGCCCACAGGACTCTGAACTTATAGGTCTCGTCACAACCCCTTGACCTCCACCAGGCTGGGACCCTGGGCAAGCAGAAGGGTAGGGCAGGGGCCTCAGGCTGCCATCTGCTCCTGGCTGAGCCTCCTCCCTGCCCCCAGCCCCAGCCCCAGCTCCTTCCCCCAGCCCCTTCTTCTGGCCCCTACCTCCGCCCACCTGAGCCCTGGACTTGACCTTGCTGGCTGTAGGGGGAGGGTGTGATAAGCATCTCCGTGGAGGGAGCTAGCTGCCTGCAAAGGCATTTTCCGCTCTCTAAAGTAAACAATCAAACAGGAAATTAATCGAGAAACCCACATCAACGGAAGGTTCAGGTTGTGATTTTCACAGCCCCAGAGCCAGGAAATTCAAAGTTACAGTTCCCATAGTAACTTGCCTGTAGAATCAGTGACTGCTGGGCTGGAACAAGGCCCTGAGGGGTCAACCAGGCCAGCCCTTGCCTCCGGAAAGCATCGCCCAGCAGTAAGTCTGAGAGTCTCAGGGTAAGCTGCTCTTCTGAGGTGGAACATTAATCCTGAGAATGCTGCGCGGTCAGGCTCTACCTTCCATGCTCACAGGAATGGGGGCTCAGGTGACCTCTCAAGGATTCCATTGTCCCACTTTCTATAATATATTCCTGTACTCCCTTGAGCACCCTCATCCACAGGCCTGCATTCTGTGAAACGGGAATAACACTCATCAGGCCTCCTGCTTCACCGGCTGCAAGTCAACCAAGTGCGGGGCTCAGCGAGGCCTGGCTTCCACACTCACGCCCCACCAGCCTTGCTCTACTCAGTCCCATGAGACCCGACCTCCCTCTCCACCCATCCCCACTGCCCCCGAATCTTATAACTGGCATTGGCCCATCCCCTGGTTGTTTCTCTTCCAAGAGACATCTCAGTGGACTGACAGGTCCAGGAGCTTTGGAAACAGCCACCAAGGCAGTTCCATGACTTGGAGATCCTTGTCACCCCAACCCTCCCACCCCTTGTCAGCACCAAATACATTGATATTAAGCTCAGTGAACACTTACTGCCCCCCTGACTGATAACCGGGTAGATTTAATGAAACCAGAGGCAAAGCCTCCACATCCAGTAGAGAGGGGCTGCGTGTCTTGGGTGGAGTTCTCTTTTGTGTGTGAGCCCTGAGGAGTCCCTGCCTGGCAGGAAAGGAGATAAGGGCGGCGGAGCTCAGCCTCAGACGGAAACAGTCTAGAATCCTTCCCTGAGAGCCACCCTGCCCTCACACCCGAGATGGCCACTAATAGCTGCCAGGCTGTATCAGCCAGGCGCGGACCCCTGGGATAACACCAGCTGAGGAGACAGCCACTGCCTGCCAGGCACTGGGCCGGTGGCAGAGGGGGCCTGCTGGCCTGCCCACATGCCAGCCTGGCCCCTGAGCCAGCGCCTTGAATTGAGCAAAGCAGTGTCAAGACACAAGTGGCGCCTGCTGGAAAGAGACAGAGTGTCTCCTCAATTTCCTAACAGGCCCAGCCGCATGCCAGGGGCGGACAGGCCAGCTCAGAATGCCTGGCCTGGCTTGCGAAACAGTCCTTTCCTCCTCTGGGTAAGCTTCCCTGGGGGCGACTAAACCGCAGTCCAGCCGCCCAATTCCCTGGAGGAGCTAGGCTGAGCCGCGAGGGCGCTGCCCTAGGCAGAGGGGCTGAGTTCTCTGCTGTCTCAGAGGGAAGCTCGGGGAGGCCACCCACCAGCTCAGAAGGAGGGCCTCCCCATGCCCAGAGCCCAGGGGCTGCCCCAGCCACGAGTCCCCTGCCTGCTCACTGAGTGGGCACAAGATCATCTGCAGGGCTATGCCAACTTACAGTTCCCTGAGCCTGAGAAGAAGCTTCATAGAAGACTTTTTATGGGATGTTTATGTTAACCAGGTACCCTCCTACATGTAGGGGGCTGTTACCAACCTTGGACTTTATTGAGGATGAGTTGGGGAGGGCATAGATAACGAGCAAGGGTCATTGAGAAAAGGCACACACTGGCTCACTTCTCTGCCACCGGGCATGGAAGTCTGAAGAAACCTTTGCTTAAACCATGTCCTTTTTTGCATGATAATCTTGGCTTGCTGTATTTACATCAACACTTGCAGTAGCCTGGTTCCCAGAAAGAGGTGCCTGTCTTCTAGGGTAGGGGTGGGGTGGAGTGAAGCCACGTGGCGGGAGCTGGGTTGGAGGGCTATCCTCTGGGTGAGGGAGTGCAGCTGGTTCTGCAGTGGGTTTGGGCATAAGGCAGTAAGCAAGGACCAACTGGGTAGGACAGCTGGGCTGGGGACAATTAAGCTCTGTTCACGTTCAGAGAAGAATCAGGCTGTGCTAGCGGCATAATTAGCATTGTGCTCAGAGGAACTGCCGCCCATTGGAGGAGCAGACAGGCCTGGGCTGAGAAAAGGGCCTGGGGCTGCCCGGGGTGTCAGCAGGGATTTGGTAAGTACTCTTTGCCAAATCTAAGAGACTCGGAGATAAGAGAAGTTAATTGGCACCTGGAAGTTTGTTTGACTTTAGAGCCTTACCCTTAGCAGAATATAAATTTTAATAATAGGGCAACTCTTAAGTTGAGACGATCTTTCTGGATGAATGAGCATGCGAGTCAATGTTTTGTTATCACCCGTGCATTCTCACTGTGTTCAACTGGCGAGGCTGCATGGGGTAAGGGCTTAGCCTGGCATTCAGGTGCTCGCTGGCCCACTTCCGCCCTGGGCCCTACAGCCTTCCCACCCCGTCACCTTCACAGACCTCCAATCTACCCACATTCATCTGTTCATAGGTCTAAGGATGCATCCTGTCCCTATCTGCCGCTGGCTTTTGCTGAAGATTCTCTGTGCTAGGCATGCCTTTTCCCATTTTGGCTCCACTGACCAGATCCCTTGAGACCAACTGCAAGAGCCTCCTCCAGGAAGCCTTCCCTGATCTTCTACGACCTCTGTAGCCAGAAGACTCACCACTCCCAGCCTGGGGCAACTGTTGCTTCTACCTAGTTCTAGGTCTCCTCTAGCATCTACCTAGATTAGCTTTTCTTCATATTGCTCACACAGGAACTTGGGTCTGCCTAGCCCTCTTGGAAGACCTGAAGATTGGATTTGAAAGAAGGCATGGCTTCCTGCTGGCTGGGGTGAGGCCACTTGGAAGGGCCTCTGTTTCCCAGATGCAGCCCCCCAGCGATATAAAGCCTTGGAGCACAGCAAGTCCTGCATCCAACTTCTGCAGGGAGCCTGAGGGGGTAGTAACAACTTTTCATTCATTCACTTGTTCAACAAGGAGGCACAGATCCTGGACTCGTGGATTTATGAGTCTGGGAGGGAAGACAGGTGGTGCATAAGCAGGTCAGCATTTGGAACAGGCTGTAAAGTGAGACTGGCTGGATTCTAACCCTGACTCAGCTGCCTCGCTGGTCATGTTGCGCAATACAGGCGACCTCTCTGTGTCTCAGTTTCCCTACCTGTGAAGTAGGATAGTAAGATTACCTCCCGCCAAGGGTAGCTGCAAGGGTTAAAGAAGATGATGTGGAATATTTAGGATGAGCTCAGTCAGTGGTGGCTCTTGTTACTGAGTGAGCTGCAAGTGGCACAGCAGAGGGTGGGTGGGGTCAGTGATGGAGAGGAGAGGAGGCTCAGGGACAGCTTCCTGGGAAGAAAGCTTTGAAGGTACAGCCAGGAGAGTGGGGTGAGGAGAGGAAAGGAGGGAAGGACACTGTGGACAGGGAGGAAGGTGAGCCTGGAGTGCTGAGAGAGGGCGGCAGGGTGAGGCTGAGCCCAGTTAGAAGGCTGGTGGAGAATTCAGGGGAAAGGAGACAGTGGCCTAACCGAGTCGTGGAGAGGGAGAAAAGTGGTGGCCAGACTCAAAAATCTGCAAGAGCTGCTGCTCACAGACCCTGGGAACTGGCAGCAGGGTCGGGGTTCGTGTGAGTCAGGCATGGCCTCGGGTCTGTAGCCAGCACAGCCTGGAGGTCCTCTGCTGGGAGGAGGTGCAGGCTTGGGGAGCAGAAGACGGGTTCCACTAGGACCCTTAGAGTTTGAGGGGCCGGTGGGCAGGCCGGGGGAGGTGTCAGGGAGATGTGCCCACGACTGGAGATGCAGATCTGGAGTTTGTGCAGGTCACATTTGGGGGCTGCTGCTGTCCTTGATTCTGCCTGTGACCCACACAGGCTTCGGGTCCTGTCCTGGGGGCCCCACCCTGGCTCCTGGCCAGCCGTCGCTGCCTGTTCCCTGGCAAATCCCTCTACCTCTCCATGTGTCTGGTTAAGGGGCCATCCAATCAGTGAAGCTTTGGAGAAGGCCATAAAGGTGAACACAGCGCCTGAGGGAAGGCTCCTACACTAAACTCTGGCATTGGCCCTGAGGGAGACAGAGGTTTTGGGGTCACGCACATACCTTGAGCCACCCAAGTGTGTGCAGCTACAGCCTCAAGCACAGACATGCTGTCTGTGTTGTGCTTTCTATGTAGCTTGAAAGGGGACTCGTTTCGGGGGGACACAAAAATCCATCTTTATGTTTCCTCAGATTTTCTCCAGCACCTGCCTGTGCAAGCGCCCAGGTGAGACATGGTCCAGGTGGGCCGGTGCCGAGAGGCTTATGTGAGGCCTGGGCCGCCCAACGCGCTCAGCTCGGAGGGCACTGGCTTGGGAAGGCGGGGCACCTGCCTTCCCACAGGCATTCACCCGGGATGAAAGTTCAGTGCAGGCTCCAGTTCCTATGTGAGTGTCCCCCCAGCCCACGGGCTGTGGATGTGCTGGGTGTTGGGAGAGATGCAGGAGGAACAAGCAGGTGCTTTGTTGCTGTTGTTTCTGGATTCTCACGAATGCCAAGACTACATACCCAGAGCAGTGAGGACTCTTCCTCCTTTAAGGACACTGATGGGTAGCAAGTGTGGGGGAAAGTAGAGAACAAATCAGTTCTTCTATTTTGCAGTGTAAAATAAAACCCCGGGGAAGGCGGGCTTTGTTTTTAAAAGTCTCTCTTCCCCAGCGTGCCCCATCTCTGGCATTGGACAGCAGAACCAAGTCAGAGTTCCAGAGACAGCCCTACTCCCTTCCCACCAGGGTGGGTGTGGGTGTGGGGATTCCCAGCCTCGAAGCCACCCAGCTGCCCAGGGCTGCTGGCACAGGCTGGTGGGTGATAGGGGCTCGGGACACCTGGGAGCAGGGAAAGGGCTGCGTCCAGTGGGTGGTTCCCAGCCCTGGCTTTGTACTGGATCCACTTAGGAGAGAGACGGATCCCAGCCCTCAGTCTTTCATTTTAGGGTTGGAGCGCCTACGCAGGGCTGTGGGGCCTAGGAATCCGGAGGTATAGTAAGGTTTAGTAAGTAAGGTATAGCGATCCTAGGTGTAGTAAGATCTCTGGGTGTTTCTGGTGCAGTCAGAGTGGGCACCACTGAGAAAAATGTCTGTTCAGGTGGATGGGAGTTGCAGAGGCTCCATATATGACGGAGACCCTCTTAGCTCAAATCGCCTTTGTTCTGTTTGGGCTGGGCTCACCCAGGCTCAAGTGCCCCTAGGCCCATGACCTCTACCCCTGCCTTCAGGTGCTTCTCCGGCCCAGACCTCGGCCCTCCCCAGCGCTCAAGGTGCTCCTCCTCCTCTGAGTTCCTGCATCGCTGAGAATTTGGACTCCGGATGTGACATGAGCAGCAGCCTTGGTGGCCTCTGAGTGGGGAAGTGTGCCAGGCCCCTGCTAAGTGCTTGGTGAGCCTTAAACAGCCTTGTCCTCGCCCCCACCCTGTAGGCAGGTGCCAATGTCCCCTTGCTCTAGGGAGGGGCTCTGGTGAGCACGGGGACGAGGATTTGGATCTGAGGCCATGAGGTTCTTGTTCCTCCCATTACCAATGTGTGTATGGGAGTCCCCGGGAAAGAGGTCCCCAGCTGGGGGTCCCCAGCCCCTGGGCATTGCCCACCCATGGCTTGGATGGGAGACAGGAGGAGCAAGAAGAGATCCCCAATCCTTGGCAGCTGGCAATCTCTGGGCTTCACTCATTTGCCCCCAGGCCAGGCAGTGCAGGCTTCACTGTCAAACCCTGGCTGCCTCAGCTCCCTGCCCTTCCCCTCTCCTTAACAGCCCAAACGTGGGTAGGACGCAGGACTAGTAGCTGACAATTTCCCAGGGTGTCCCAGTGGCCCTGGTGCCTTCTCAGCAGGCTGATGGCAGGTGATGTGGACGAAGCAGGGGACACACTAGAGATGTTATCCATGTGTGGTGCCCAGTAGGAAACCAGAGGCACAGCTTGGGTGGCCGGGCCAGCACCAGAACTCAGATTTCCTGACTCCTAGCTGGGTGTTCCTGCACCAGGCAAAGAGGAGAGGCGCAAAGGAGGAAAACCTGGCTAATCCTCACCTGGGCACCACCAACGGCAGGCTCCTGGGGCTTCCTACCCTGCTCCCCTGCCCCTCTAGGGGAATGTCTGGGGCTGGCAGCCCGGGGGACCTGGGGGATGTCGGGACGTGGAGGGCTGAAGTGATGGGGTTGGTTGGGGATGTCAATCACTGGTGCCTCATAATTGCCCAGGCCTTTGGAGTCGAGGTATGAGAAGCTGGGGGGTCTGCCCTATATACATCTTAGGGGGTAGCAAGGTGGTGGAGGGGTCCCCTAGAACCAGTGGTGACCCCATCGTCCTCCAGGCAGAGCAGGTAGGGCCCACACAACACTTAGAATCAGGCCTTGAAAAAGACCAGGCTGAGCATGGGGACCCTGAGGGGCAGCCCAGGGCCTCTATGAGGGCTGCTGGCTGTGCTCAAGAGGGGGCATCTGGTGGGACCACATCAGCCCCAGGAGCTGGTACAGAACACACTTGAACTCTGACCTTGTTGCTGGGATCTTGAATGCTCCAGAGCACAGTGGGGCTGCCTCTTTAGAGAAGTGGCTGCTAGGGAGGAGGGAGGGGCCTGGAGGTGGGTGGGCTTCAAGGCAGTGGCTCCCAGGGTGGGATGGACATTTATGCCTTCCTGCAACAAAAGTTCACAGGCTACAGGGCCTGGGGTCATGGGGACCAGACAGCCCCGTGCCTGTCCTCAGGTCACCTACAGCGGCAGGCAGAGGGGTGGAATGGCAAATGCAAACAGGGTGCTGGGAGGGAGCCCCTTTAGACGGATGAGGTGGTCAGGGCAGGCTTCTCTGCAGAGGAAACCCGAAGGGTGAGGGCGCAGCCAAGTCAGGGTAAAGGTGGGTGGGGGGCTTGCTGGGAAGGGATAATGACCGACAGCTCCCACACCAGTCCTCTCTCCGGACCTGGTCCAACATGTCCCACTTGATCCTCACATAGCCCCATTGCTGCTTTACAGGCCACGCCGGAGGGTGGAGATCAGATAATCTCCAGTATGCCCAAGGCCACTCAGGGGGGTCAGGGAGCTGATTCCCAAATCCAGGAATCTGTCTGAAAAGTTTGGTGCTCCCTTCTGCACTGCTCTTATAGACGTGGGATCCTTCAGCTTTCGCGGGAGCATGGATCCTTTTGAGGATCCTGATGAAAATCTGCACCTCTCCCAGAAAAATGCACCTCTACACAGGTTCACAGACATCTGCATACAATTTCAGGGTTCTCAGACCCTGAAAGCCACCAAGGACCCCAAGTACATAAGCCTTACACAGCACAACCTAAATTGTCAATGGCAGTGTCTCAGGAGGGCAGGACAGTGACCACCTCTGTGAGGCCATCAGCACAGCTATGGCTGCACATGCTGTCTGAAGGATCAGGTGGCCTTTTCCTGTGGCTTTTGAGGCTGAGGCTGAGTACCCTTGTGGCGGATGCATAACGCCAGGATGGCCAATAAAGACACCATAAAAGTTCCCAACCGTGTGCCTGACACTGGACAGATTTAATCTCCAGGTCTTCTGGGAACCCCGCAGAGTTAGGGGTTGTTTTCTCATTTTACTGATGGAGACTGAGGCTTACGGAAGAGAATTTGTTTCAAGTCCCCGCCAGTACTATGAACATGGGATTTGAAATCATGCAAGTCTGACATGCAGACCTCGGTTCTTTCTATTTTCCCTTCTCACGGAGGGGGCTTTGTGCTTCCTGGAGGCCGACAGGGAGTTTCTCTAACGTAGGTTGGAGTGGTCAGAAGGGAGCGAACTGACAGCACGAGGAAGGCTCAGCGCAAGCCAGCTCCATTCATGGGAAGTGACTCACTGCAGCCCTGCCGCTCTCGGGCTCCAGGGGACACATACACATTTCCTGTGTCTCGGCCAGGGCCTTGGGCAGTGTGAGCTGGCAGGGCAGATCGCTGAAGGCGGCTAGAGATACAAAACCACCCAGCTCTGCATTCTGAGACAAAGAAGCCTCTCCCTGGGCTCATATGACAGAGCTATGTTGCCTCTGGACCTCAGTTTTGCTGTCTGTAAAATGGGGAGAAGGTCAGACTAGATTGGGCATATTCAGTGTGGGATCCCCCTAAGGACAGCAACAGCGGCACCTGGGAAACTGCAAATTCTCCTTTATGACAGTGGCTCTCAAACTTTAACATGCATCAGAATCATCTAGAGGGTAGTTTCTCACTCGAGAACCACATAGTGAGATCAGGGATCCGTGAACTACAGTCCACAGGCCAAATCTGCTTTTTATGGTCCATGAGCTAAGAATAGTTTTTCCATTTTTCAGTGGTTGGGGAAAAAAAAATCAAAGAAGAATATTTTGTGACACATACAAATTATATGAAATTCAAATCTCAGTGTCCATAAATAAGGTTTCGTTGGCACACAGTCACTCTCAGTCATTTGCATATCGTCTACGGCTGCTTTTTCCGCTTTGAAGGCAGAGTCGAGGCGCTGGCTCTCCTGGCTTCACACTGCTGCTCTTGCCCTGCACCTCCTAGGGATGTGGTTAAACTCGGCTTTGCCTCTTGGTCTGCAGAGCCTGAAATATGTACTGTCTGGCCCTTCGTACAAGACATTTGCTGACCCTGATCTACAGAGAGAAGGGAAAGGAAGAGAAGGGGAGGGGAGGGGAAAGGAGGGGAGAAAAGGGTAGAGAAGGGGTGTGTGCAAGAGCTGGGGTCCCTTCTGGGGAAAGATGAGGTGTCAGGGGCTTTTGGAATCTGAGAGTCTTACTCTGCGCTGGGCCAGCACTTGGAATCTTTTGCACAGTTGCTTTGAGGGTGATCTGGAAGGCCCCTGTCACCAATAAAGACTTTCCTTCTTGCCTGTACAAAAACCTAACATTCCACTTCTAGAGCAGGGGCTTTTAACTGGGAAGCCCCCCCATCCAGAGGCCAGGCTTCAGGGGTGCTAGGTAAAATTTTATGCATGTAGGTGTTTTCTGGGGAGAGAGATTTTGGTGGTGCCGGTGAACTTCTCTACCCCTCCCAAATCCCAAGCACCCTTTTTTTTCCTTTGGGGCCCACATTTTTCTCTTTCTATCCCTCCTTTCAAAATGTGAAAGTCCCTGGAAGGGGGACACTGTGCATGTACATCCTCCTACCTAGGAAAGGGGTGAGGTGATCTGATGTGACCAGGCAGGCCTTAGGAAAGTCCAGAGAGTCTGAGGAGGGGTGGCGGCGGGGGGGCGGGGGGGGGAACGGAGAGAGAGGAAGTGGTGACGAAGGAAGAGGGCCTCTTTCCCAGAAGGCTGCGGGACCCCCAGGCCCACAGAGTCTGCACTCATCTGCTTCTCCCCACCAGCAAGAGGCACCCAAGGCTCGCAGCCCACGCGGCTACCCTCCCACCCTCACTGGTGGGCGCCTCCACTCCCCAGGCCCCACAGGCCTGCAGCGTTAGCCAAGCAAGTCTCAACTCTGGCCCTGGGATTCCAGGTATTTTCCCAGCCAGCCGCACCTCATCTAATTGCTTTCCAGTCAGCTAATCCCTGGCCCACGCCCTCTGCTCCGGCCAGGCAAGCCACCTCTGTGTGGCCAGCAGGAGCTTTCTGAGGCTTCCCATGGCACGCGTCCAAGCCTGGGGCAGCCTCTCGCCTCCCCTTGCCCAAACCACATCCTCTTTGTCCTTCCCCACACCTCCGACTCTCCTCTGACTAACATTTCCAAACCAAGCAGAGCTTGGTCCAGTCCAGACCGAAAGCAGCAGACGAACTCACTCCCCACCACCCCCGCCCGCCAGACGCATCACTTCCTGGCTATCAGGGAAGAGCAATTAGCAAAAAAGTGGAGCTGTACCTACTGCTCAATTTCCAGAGCTAATTGTTTTAAGCAGGGTTTTGGCTTTAATTAAAGGATAATTAGTTACTGAATGTGTGTTTGCATTTCCACAAGTGTGTTTGCATTTCCTAAGTCTGGCTTTTAACCCTGGGAAACCAGATTCAGCAAATACTTTTATGTTTCAATACTTCTGAGTAAGGGAGAAGGTCTTAATTACAGAAAAGGTAGTCCTGTATAATCAAAGGGCAATGCAAGAATGAGCTAATTGTGCCTTCCACACGCTTGGCCATGAGTTCTGTTGAGCTGCCATGAGTAGAGGGTGGCAGCTGCCCGGCCCAGCCTAGCACTGTGCCCCCATCTGTGGATTCTGTTCTTATCCCCATCATGCAACTGGCCACCCCTGCCACGGCCCTTCTCTTCCCTTTCTATGTGCTTCTTCCTTCTTATCTTTTCCCCCCTTTGGCACTTGGGAGGTTGAGGCGGGTGGATTGCTTCAGCCCAGGAGTTCGAAACCAGCCTGGGCAACATAGCAAACCCCATCTCTACTAAAAATACAAAAAATTAGCCAGGGGTGCTGGTGCACACCTCGAGTTCCAACTACTTGGTGGGCTGAGGTGGAAAGATTGTTTGAGCCTGGGAGGTCGAGGCTGCAGTGAGCCCTGACTATGCCACTGTATTCCAGCCTAGATGACAAAGGGAGACCCTGTTTAAAAAAACAAACAAACAAAAAGACCAAGTTTTGCAGACCCTGCGGGAGCTCTCCAGCCAGGCAGCCCCCGCATGCACATTGGCTGTGAGCTTGAGGTTTTAGTATTCATGGTGTCCCTTTGCTGCCTGGTGCTGTGAGAGGTGATGAAAAGTACTTTTGAGACTTTGGGAATCCAGATACTTTAGGGATCCAGAACAGCTCCAAAAGCCTGAGGATTCCAGAAGCTGCCTCCAGACCGCCCTGTCCAGTGTAATAGCCACCAGCCACATGTGGTCTTGGGCACTTCAAATGTGCCTGAGTCCAAACTGAGAGCTGCTTTCAGTGTAAACTACACACTGGATTTCAAAGACTTTGTACCAAAGGAGACGAATGTAAAAAATATCCCACTGGTACTTTTTAATATTGATCACATGTTAAAATAATTATTTTGATATATTAGACAGCATAAAATTAATTTCACCTGTTCCCTTTGCAGTTTTTTAAAACGTGGCTACTAGACAATTTGAAATTACACTTGTGGCTCACATTAGATTGCTACTGGACATGCTGCTCCTAGGTGAATCCTGCTGTAATTGTCAAGGGCTAAAGGGTTTCCGTCATTCTCAAGGTCTGTGACTGTGGGAGTCCCTTCCCATCCAGTCCATCCTCCCACCCTTCGTCCTCCCTGCACATCCTCCTAACTTCCTCTGTTCCTCACCGGAGAGGCAGCAAGGAGGGCCCTACTGAGTGCTGTCATGTACACAGCAGGTGCCAGGCCCCTAAAATAACCCTTTCCCCATGGGCTCTTGGTCCAGGGAGCTTTGCTAGAAGCTTACCCTGGCTTCTCCCAAAGATGGTGATTCATGGGATTCTGACTTTGGACAGACTACTTCAATCTCATAGGAAGCTAGGTGGAGGGTTGTCGAGAAAAGGCCACTTAACCAAAGGCAGGGACAGAGGAGAGGCAGCTTTGCAGGCTGAGAGCATTGTTTGCACTGGCTCATTCACCGTGTGGGCACAAATGGCCCCTTTGGGCTTGCTTGGTGGTGGGGGTGTCTTTCTCTTCACTTTCCCGTTTTGAGCTTATCTCCAGGGACCACTACCAGCCAGCCCCACTCTGCTCACTCACATTGCCCCTTTGAGGGTCCTGGATTTAATCTCCTCTGAGAAATCGTTCCAGATGAATTCTAGAAGGGCTGGCTATTGTCTCTGGCTTTGCTCAGCCTAGGCATTCTACTTCCTTAATTCAGTCAGTCAGTATCTATTGAGCACCTGCTGTATACCAGGCACTGTTCTAAGCATAGGGATACAGCTGTGAATAGACACCTGCCCTGCCTTGATAGTTTCCATGCTAGTTGGGAGACAGAAAACAAGCAATTAACAAAGAAAACTCCAAGATAAAGCCAAGCATCAGTAAAGCAATGAAGAGAAGGAAGGCAGGCTGTGGTGTGGCCAGGGAGGGTCTCTAGGAAACTGACATCTGCGCAGAGCCCTGGATGGGTGCCTAGAAGGGCATTCTCCCAGAGAGTGTGCCAAGGCCCTGAGCCTTATTCTACTGAGTTCCTTCACATTTTTTCTCAGTAAGAAGCACAGTTTATACAATACAAAATATGCTGTGACCCCATCCTTTTATTTCATGTCTTTTTTTTTCATGGGTGGTATGCCCCTCAGACACCGAGCTACAGGGAAGGGAGGAAGTCAATTGATAATGAACAAATCTGGCTGAACACGGTGGCTCATGCCTGTAATCCCAGCACCTTGGGAGGCCAAGGTGGGCAGATCACCTGAGGTCAGGAGTTCGAGACCAGCCTGGCCAACATGATGAAATCCCGTCTCTACTAAAAATACAAAAATTAGCTGGGCGTGGTGGTACATGCCTGTAATCCCAGCTACTCGGGTGGTTGAGGCAGGAGAATCCTTGACACTGGGAGGCAGATTGTAGTGAGCCAAGATCGTCACTGCACCCCAGCCTGGGCAACAGAGCGAGACTCTGTCTCAAAACAAAAACAAAAACAAACAAACAAAAATAACACATGTACCTGAGGGCCAGAGAGGGTAAGCTGCAGGAGACTGTCTGGCTCTGAAACACACCTTCTTCCCCCAGCATTCCGAGAGTTGTGTATGCTTTATTCAGCCTTGGCTGTCAGTGCCGGGCACTGTTTGCTCCTTCCTTCCCCAGGAGACAAGAAAGGGCCGATCCTGGAGGTTCCTTCTCAAAAGCTGGCGGCAGGTGGATACCATCCATGCTAATTTGAGCTCCAGGTCCTGACGGCTGGAGCGGGTTGGAAAAAGAGCCGCCTGGGGCCTGGAGAGCTGTGTGTGCTTTATTCACCCTTGGCTGTCAGTGCTGGGCATTGTTTGCTCCTCCCCTCCCCAGGAGACAGAAGGTCTGTGAGGGCAGGGACCCCAGTGTGCTCATGCCCAGGGCCTAGCAGCAGGTCCCGCGCTCGGCATCCCAACTGCTAGATGGGGTGCACCTGTGCTGGAGCACAGAGGCTGGGCAGGGTAGGGGCACACTCTGGGAGGCACAGAGGCCGGGCAGGGTGGGGGCACAC